TCGTCTGTATTGTTGGATCGACTGTTTCTCATCTTTCTCTTGAAAATATCCTATAGATTCTCTATGGGGTTCAGGTCAGGCATGTTGGCTGGCCAATCAAGCACAGTAATATCATGGTCAGCAAAGCACTTGGAAGTGGTTTTGGCGCTGTGGGCAGGTGCTAAAGTCCTGCTGGAAAAGGAAATCAGCTTCTCCATAAAGCTTGTCAGCAGATGGAAGCATAAAGTGCTCCAAAATCTCCTGGTTGACGGCTGCATTGACTTTGAACTTGATTTCTGCCATATGTACATTAACTGACAGTCACCACTGATAAGCTACTACTAAATATTGTAGAAACTCAATTTTCTGTAAAGTTGCTTTGCAACGATTTGTATCATGAAAAGCGCTATACAAAAAACTTGAATTGAATTGAAAACACAATGGCCCAACACCAGCAGACGTCACGGCTCCCAAATGATCACTGACTTCAGAAACTTCACACTGGACTTCAAGCAGCTTGGATTCTGTGCCTCTTCAGTCTTCCTCCAGAGCTTGATTTCCAAATGAAATGCAAAATTTACTTTATCTGAAAAGAGGACTTTGGACCACTGAGCAACAATCCAGATCTTTTTCTCCACAGCCCAGGTAAAATGCTTCTGATGTTGTTTCCGTTTCAGAAGTGGCTTGGTAACACTTTTCCTGAAGACGTCCGAGCGTGGAGACTCTTGATGCACTGACTCCAGCTTCAGTGAAGCTCTCCCAAGTGTTTGAATAGGTTTTGCTTGACAGTATTCTCAAGCGTGCGGTCATCCCTGTTGCTTGTGCACCTTTTCCTACCCAATTTCTTCCTTCCAGTCAACTTTGCATTTAATATGCTTTGATACATTGCCAAGTCAGCAGTCTTCCCCATTATTGTGGTTTCAAAGAACAAGAGATACCCGGAATTTATACTCTAGGGATGGCCATTTAATGAAACTCAAATGTAAATATTCTAATATTTTGAGATGCTGGATTTTTGACTTTCGTGAGCTGTAAGCTCTAATCATTAAAATGAAACCAAAAAAACTTTTGAAACGTTTTACTTTACATGTAATGAATCTAGAATAAGTTACAAAAAATAATAACTTTTTCACGATATTCAAATTTTTTGAGATGCACCTGTATGTATATATACAGTGGTTTGAAAAAGTGTTGGCCCCCTTCCTGATTTCTTATTTTTTTGCATGTTTGTCACACTTTAATGTTTCAGATCATCAAACAAATTTAAATATTAGTCAAAGATAACACAAGTGAACACAACATGCATGCATTAAATGAAGGTTTTTATTATTAAGGGAAAACAAAATCCAAAACTACATGGCCCTGTGTGAAAAAAGTGTTTGCCCCCTAAACCTAATAAATGGTTGGGCCGGGCCAACACTTTTTCACACCACTGTATATAATACAGCATATCGCGCTATTGAGCCACTCAAAATTACAGCAAGGGAAATTCCTTCACCGTGACATGATGTTGTTTTTGCTATGCACTTTGCTATATAAACTCTTGTATTCTTTTTGTTGGGGGGATTCTCTGTGATTGGTATGAGGTCCTCCCGGCCATGATTAAAGCATATTCAAAGGCATTGTCAGGAGTCTGTCTGTTACTGCTGCACAGCAGGTTAGTCGAACACTAGAGATGTTAGTCCTAAGTGATCAAAAGGGGCGAGACGTCATCCAACTCTATATGCGTCGCTAGAGATGCGCCAGGAGTAGTAATTCATTAGCGCTGCCAGTAGATACTTTGGAGATGTGTCGCCATAGACGAGACCCCAGGTAAACTTAAGTCAGGTGTGTAGGGGAATTTTTACCACACAGTGAAAATGTATTTTTTATATACGTATTAAATTGTATATTCATTATTTGATTAAAACAAAACGAGAGGAAAAAATGAATGTATGGACAAAAATAAGCATCCAAAATAAGAAAACAAATATTTGTAAGAAACATGTAAAATAACTAACAACAGCAAATTGTAAGGAGAGAAATGTGATCTACTGTATTTAGACTCAAGCACCTACCTGGTGCTGTCTCAGTTGAGAGAGATGGTAGCTTGAATCCACACTCGCAGCAGAATTTTGCCTTTTCTGAAGACACATGATTGCATTGAGGACACTTCATTCTGAGATGATGCCTGCAAAGAGTATGAGAATGAGTCAAGGGAATTTACCCATTGCTCCATAACACACAAATGATCACATGATTTGTAAGAACTCCATATTGCTTTCAGTTTCCGTTTGCTTATAAACCAATGTCCACAGAACTCAGGATCAATAAATACAGATTCATGCTGTCAATAAACAGCAAAGAGGCAACACTTCATCTCTTTCGTGACTTTCCATAGACATTACTGTTTCATAGCAGACACTGAGTTTGAGAGTAAGGATATAGAACATGGAAAAAAAGCATTAAAATAAATGACAACAAATAAACACACACACACACACACACAAAATCCACGTGTAAACTTAGAGATAACATATTTTAAAAGTGGATTTTTTGGCAGATCAGGATCTCTTACATTTGTCGACACTACACCTTTTGTCTGACACCCATTTCAGGTCTCTGAGTCTCTATTAATGAGCTGATGGTCTGAATCAGCCGTGTTTGATTGCATGACATGTCTGAAGTGTCTGAATCTTCTCTAACCTAGATTTAACACATGATACGTTCTCAGCTCAAATCTATCGACATCCTAGCGTCACGATCTGTATAAAATAAGCCAATTTTATCATTAAAACTGCACATCAAACAGCGCTGTGAGCCAAAACAAATCTGTTAACACAACAAGCAAGCTAAGCGAATACTCCTCAGACAAGTTCACTTAAAACAGGAGTCTGTGAGAGTGTAATTTTCCTGCAGATAACCTTGCAATCCGATCGCTTCCCTAATAAAGCTAAACACGCGCAGGTGATAAAAGCGAGTGGACACTCAGATTTGTTTCTTACCCAGTGAAGGAGTCACAGCTGAGCACGCATCGTGTATCTGACACAGCTCAGATCAGTTCAGATCACGTGCATGCCTTACTCTGGTGAGGCAGGGCAGGGCACTGATCTTACATCTACTTTCGTTTTGTGAAAAAAATGGGCGTGTATCCATTTATTAAGTCAATAACATTAACGGTAAATAAAGAAAGCAAGCATGAGGTGAAACATCAGCTGAATACCTTAATGCAAATACAGCTAAAAGTGTTTTTAAAAACACCTCTTACTGTAGTGATGTGACCCTCTCATTCACTTGTATGAAAGCTTCTCAATCCCAAGTAGGGTTCGCTGCAGCCTGCGGTGGACACCCAACCCCGCCCACATCCACGTGTGACGTCGGAAGTCACGCCCATCCCCGATACAACCCCGCCCACGTCCGAGTGTGCCGTTGGAAGCCACGCCCATATCAAATACATCATCTTGTGATTCCCCATCCCCTACCGGGAAACCCGGAAATGTATTGACATAAATCATTTATATTTTTGTAAAAGATGGCACAACTTAAATCTAATATATTTAATATGTCTAATGTATGGAGCTGATTTCGTCATCATAACAGCCTGTAAAAGGCTTGCATTGATTATGCATTGACTATTCTAATTGTTAAAGGGGTCATATGATGTGATTTCAATTGTTCCTTTCTCTTTGGAGTGTTACAAGCTCTTGGTGCATAAAGAAGATCTGTAAAGTTGCAAAGACTAAAGTCTCAAATCCAAAGAGATATTCTTTATAAAAGTTCAGAGTCAGCCACGCCTACCTAAAACGCCTCGTTCTAACACGCCCCCACATATCTACATCACTATGTGGAAATATTAGCATAATGCCACCCAAATGTGCACGCAAAGAAAGAACGCGTGGCTTCAGGAACAGCAGTAGTGTTGATGCAGCCATGTCAGGGAGACGCTGTGTGTTTCAGTGCGAAAGCAAAAGCACTTTATTTGGCCTTACGAAAGTAGATGCAATTAGGAATCATTGGTTAAGATTTATTTATCTTTGGGTTTGAGACTTTAGTCTTTGCAACTTTAGGGATCGTATCTATTCACGAGAAAGGAAAACTTGAAATTGCATCACATGACCCCTTTAACACCGTGTCTACACCAGACGCGAGCAGTGCGACAAAATACAATAGAACCTATTAATTATTAAGAACCTATTAGGGGCCGTTCACATGTCACGCCTAAAAACGTGTGGAAAACGCTAGGCACGCCGCTTTCTGCTTTTTTCCAAAGCGTTCGGGCGCTTGTGCTCCGGAGGCGTCTGCCGTTACTAAGCAACCATGACCTGCGCTCTCCATGAAGACGCGGAAGTTTCAGCAAAGGATAAATGGATTTGCGGCACTAGAAATCGCTTGCAGTAGCTCTGCTACTAAATTTATTTTAAAATGACTATCCATGTACAGCTATGATCAGCTGTTCCTTCATCTTGGCTGAGCTTTCAATGTTGTTACGGGAAAGGATGAAGCTGATTGGTTGGTTCTTGTCACATGACCTGCGGTGCGCTTGCGGCATTCTGAAAAGTTGAAATGTTTTTATATCGATGCGGCGCGGACGCGCCTGGAAAAAATGAGCACGTCGCACCCGTGTCGATTCTATTATGAGCGCACCTGCCGCGCGTCTACATTTGAAATAATGAACTTGAGCGTGCAAAAGACGCGATATGTGAACAGCCCCTTATGCTGTCAACACTGGATGCGGCGTAGACCGACTTTAGCTGTTGCGGCATGGCACAGTGCGACACGACATCTGTCGCGTCCAGTGTAGACCATAGACTGTATAAAAACATGGACGTAGTGTCCGTGACGTCACCCGTAGGGTTCTGACGAGCGTTTTTGAAGCTCAAAGTGGGCGGAGCCGGCCGTCGCCATCTTGGCAGCGCGTCACTCCCAGATAATCGAACATGGGCAAAGAGGTGGGAGCTGGTTGCTGAAACCACGCCCACATAGCTCGACGGTGGTGACAGCAGCGGCAATCCACCTGTCACTCAAGTGGCCACGCCCTTAATTATGCAGAACTTTAAGGCTTATTATAATTTAAACGGATGACTTATAAAAAAAATTCACCCCCTCACAGTTGTCATGAAGGGCAAAATTAGCTATATAGACCAAAATCATTTTTTGAACCAGGCTGCAAACATATTTTTTTCTGCTGTAAAGTTGTCATTTTAACATGGGGAATCTATGGGACTGACTCCCTTTTGGAGCCAGCCTCAAGCGGCCAGTCGATGAATTGCAGTTTTAGTCACTTCCGTGTTGGTTTCACGAGAGAGAGCGGGAGGTTGCCGCTTGGTGTAGACACGGTGTAAGTGTAATCGATTTCCCAGAACTGTATGACCCATCTAAAATCTCATACAGAGACATATAAAATTATATTTCATTCATTCGTAACCTCACAGGTATGCTCTTTAGGCAAATCATCAAAAACAACTTCACTTGTGCCAAACAAAAAAAAAAGGTAAATAATGACAACAGTTAATGGCAGAATGACACAAACACAAATTTCCGTTATGTTTTATTTAGTTTTTAGTAAATACAAAGCTGATGTTGACAATTGTAACTATGGCAACGTCCGCTCCGAGACGGCACCGCGACCACCACCTCAACTTCACAAAACGCTTCCACTACAAGAGAAAGCAGTAGCCCCTCACTGCAGAACACAAGATTTAGGGGGCGTGGTTAGATCCACATCTAGGGGGTGGAGACGGGTTGGTTTAGGTCAGGGGTGCCCAAACTCGGTCCTGGAGGGCCGGTGTCCTGAAGAGTTTAGCTCCAACCCCAATTAAACACACCTGAACCAGCTAATCAAGCTCTTACTAGGCATACTAGAAACTTGAAGGCAGGTGTGTTGAGGCAAGTTGGAGCTAAACTCTGCAGGACACCGGCCCTCCAGGACCGAGTTTGGGCACCCCTGATTTAGGTATATGTAAGGTGGGAGGAGTTGGATCTGGATCCAACCACGCCCCCTGGACCATCTCAGAGAAAGCGGCAGCCGCGCGGCGATTCCACCGCTTCCCGCGTCCCGTGTGAAAGGGCCTATATACATCCACCTTTTTCCTAGCGAACCTAATGCGTTTTTAACTACGGGAGGCACTTTCGGTTTTGGGAAGTTCCACTGCAACAAATGCAACAAATCTGCAACAAATCAACCTGTTAAAAAATTGTTCTTAAAGGCGTCTCAATAGCGAATAAAGAAATCATTATAAGTCAGTTCACCGATTTACTTTTTATTTATTTTAAATAGTGACCAAATTCCAACTGCAGTTAATGTTATTAACAATTTCTCTAGTGGATCAATATTAGTAAATGTGAACTAATGTAATAAGTATTTGTAAAAGATAGTGAAACATACTTAAGAATCACAATTGTTAAAGACCAGCTGAAAAGATGCTCTCTCTATTTTAACTCCATAATTAATAAAACTATAAAAAGAAATCTCAATTTCTGGCTTCAAAGAGATCTCTCCCTTAAGGGACATGTGAAGGTATAACCCGACTGACGTATGCCTCCTTATCTTTGTATCTTGATTAACCACACTAGTAAAAATATAGATAAAATGCTCTTTGATTTCCTATGGAAAAATCGAACAAACCATGTTAAAAAGACTGTAATTATGAATACATAAGAGAATGGTGGCCTTAATTTCTTAGACTTCACCACTATGAACCACACCTTTGAGATTAATTGGATTAAGCATCACCTAAAACAACCCACTTCTGTCTGGAATTTTATTCCTGATGTTTTTTTCAAATATTGGTGGACTTAGTTATGTTTTGATGTGTAATTTGAATATAGATAAATTTCCAGCTAAGTTATCTCCCTTACACAAACAAGTGCTCCTGGCTTGGTCATTAATATATAATCATAATTTTTAATTTGCATCACTATTTCATCTGGAATAATAGAAACACTCTATACGAACACATCTCTTTTTTAAGAACCGGTTTGACAACATTTCTTATTGTAAAATACCAATTTCTGGAAAAAAAAAGAAATTCAGTTGTTATAGGTTTAATCCCTTCAGGCACTCACATGCTATTTAGAGGTGTTGATAAAGACCATTCTCCCAATTCAGCATCTTTTGATGTTACTAAATCTTATGTTGTTTTCTTATAAGCTTATTCTCAGATTTTATCCAGCAAATCATTATTTACAGAAATTGTATTGTATTTATTTGTAATGAATATGAGGAAACTGCCTTGTACTTATTGTGGCACTGTACATAATCAGTTACACTATTGTGTAAAGTTCAAAAATGTATCAATAAAAATATATTCAGTGTTTAAAGACCTTTTTCACTCTTATATGAAAATGTACTCTTTGGCTTTACTGACTATCCTGACCTAGAGGAACAGTAGTTTTACTTAATTTATCTATACTGTTGACCAAATTTCATATTCATAAGTGTAAATTTACCAATAAGTAACCAATTTTTATGGTTTTCTTGACTGAAATATGAATATATATTGACAGTATCAGAGACTCTTTGAATAAGAAAGCTGTAACATTTTCTTCCCCGCAAATCTTAACCATGCACACACTACAAGATTTGGACACCAAGATGACCCTCAGATTCTTGGCAACAGGTTTGTATATTTGACAAATGTACAGGTTTGTCTCTTATGTTTTCATTTTGCGCTAATGTTAAGGCGAAACGGGGCCACTACTGTATCTGATAGTGAAACACACATGTGCAGCCCTACATCAGGTCTTGAAAGATGATTTTCTAAAAGTTCAAAATCCTTAATTTTTTTTTTTTTATCATTAGTATTTTATCACAACAGCAAAAATACTGACATACAGTATGTACAAATATGAAGATAAACAGCATACTTCATAATGATAAACTAAACATTTTATAAGTTAGTATGCTTGACTGAATTGATTGAACAATTTAGTTACTGCTGAAAGGTGTAGTGTTATAAAAGTGTGTGTGTGTGTGTGTAAGGGTGACTTGAACTAATATATTTAGAAATTCAGTAGTTACTCTAGGAGATTAGGTGAAGCGATATCTTTCATGTTGACTGTTGTAAATAAATATTTTGTAATGCATTTATA